CCAAACGTTAAATGTATGGTAAAAACATAATAAAAATGTTGCCGCTGATAACGAAAGATTCCTAAGAACTTTCCTACTAATTTTCCATCAAGACAAAGATCAAATTTTAGTATTATTGGGGAGAGCTTTCCTAAATTGAGGAGGTCACCATGTGCTGTAAAAGTTTAGTTGGATTGGATACAAAAAGTCAACATTTTCAAAAAGTCAAACTAATCGCTCTAAAGAAAAATGTTCGATTCCTTTGTTTTGGTCAATTTACTCGTCGACAAACATTCAATTCCCCAAAACCAAAAACACTCACAGAGAAAAGAGAACTAATCGAAAAAACTCTTTTTCAAGAGCAAAATTCCCAAATTCTTAATGGATCCGTCGGAGTATTTCGCCGGCGGTAATCCTTCCGATCAACAGAATCAGAAACGGCAGCTTCAGATCTGTGGTCCTCGTCCTTCACCTCTAAGCGTTCACAAAGACTCACACAAGATTAAGAAACCTCCAAAACACCCTGCTCCTCCGCCGCAACATCGCGACCAAGCTCCGTCATACGCCGCTCGAGAGCCGGTGGTTATCTACGCCGTTTCTCCGAAGGTCGTACACACCACAGCCTCCGATTTCATGAACGTCGTCCAGCGACTAACCGGGATTTCCTCTGGGGTTTTCCACGAATCCGGAAGCGGCGGAGATGTTTCGCCGGCGGCGAGATTAGCCGCGACGGAGAATGCTAGTCCGAGAGGTGGAAAGGAACCGGCGGCGAGAGATGAGACGGTGGAAATCGAGACGGTTATGGAAGAAGCAGCTGAATACAGTGGTTATGCGCCGGGAATACTCTCGCCTTCACCGGCTATGTTGCCGACAGCTTATGCCGGAGTGTTCTCACAAGGTGGGATGTATTCGCCGGCGATACCACCGGGATTATTTTCGCCGGCGGGATCAATGAGTCCGTTTCTTATGTATAGTCCTGGTTATGCAAGTTTAGCTGCTTCTCCAACTTTTGCTGATGTTTTGAGTCATATTTGGGATCCTTAAAAAGTTTAGATTTTTTTTTTTTTTGTTCTGTAATTTATATTCATTTTGACATTAAAAAGCCCAAAGGGTTTAATTAAAATGAGCTGAATGTAGATTATAAAGTATTATCTCATTTTTTTTTTAACTTTCAAAACTTTCAGACATATTCCTAGAAAATGTATAAGTTTCTGCAAACTATATACCTAAGATATATATTTCTGTTGAGGAGGAAGAAGAAGTTTGTAAGTTTCTTCTTCATGTGGTTGCAACAATGGAGTTCCAAGTTCCTCCGATCAGTGTACCGACTCTTTCGCCCTTAATTGCTTTCGTGATGTTTCCAGGTTCCGATAGATTGAAGACCACGACTGCAAAATTCACAGACCGAGGAAACGTTATTGTTGAGTTTTAAGATGATCATGTGGTTTAGTGTTTGAGAGAGTTTTTTGTTTGTTTTAAGGAGCAAACCTGGGATGTTGTTTTCTTGGCACAAAGTAATAGCAGTCATATCCATTACAGAGAGATCCTTTGATAATACTTCTTGGTAAGTTAACGACTCGAGAAGGCGAGCGTTTGGGTTTTGCTTAGGATCATCGTCAAAGACTCCATCTACGTTTGTTGCTTTCAGCACTACTTCCGCATTAACTGTGTCAAAGCGCGAAAAAGTTTGTTTTTTTCTGATTCGAATGATAAATTAATCATTGGAGAAAACTTAAAATGGAAAAGAACTCTTACTTACTTTCAGCACATCGAAGAGCTGCTGCAGTATCGGTGGTGAAAAACGGATTGCCTGTTCCGGCTGCAAATATCACAACCCTGCCTTTTTCTAGATGTCTAATTGCTCGTCTTCTTATGTAAGGCTCTGCGACTTCTGACATGCGGAAAGCGGTTTGAACACGCGTTGGGATGCCGATACTCTCCATTGTCGCTTGAAGAAATATTGCGTTCATCACAGTTGCCAGCATCCTGTCAAAAAAATTATGTAACCAATGTGACCAAAAACCTCTTTAATAGGATAAAATTCTAGATCTTGTTGGAAAAAGAGTAACAAGATAACTCTCCACAGAAGGCACAACAGTTCATAAAAACAGATTTGTGTGGCACCAGAAGTCAAGAATGGAAACAATACCCGATATAATCAGCAGAGGAGCGATCAAGGCCACTGCACCCAGCCCAGGTGGATCCACGAAAGATATTTCCTCCTCCAACAACAATCGCAACCTGATGTAGAGGCGTAAGAATATCAAAAACAGAGCACACCAAACTCTGTAATGAGCATGCTCTCAAGACCCATCATGCGTTGCACATAGTTCATTACTTTCATTTTAAGCATACAAATCCAATTGAGTTACTCATTTCAGGTTGTGTACTCCCATAAATCTGCGCCCCATATCTAAAGGTCTTGTGTCTTGTAAGTTTGAACCAATTGGGTTTCAGCACAGTTTGTTTACTTGTACACAGACAATAACCAATACTTCAGGTACTAAAAATTGCATTTATCACACTTGGTTCAATCAACAATCTAGGAAAGAGCTCACAGCTTAGAACCTAACTAACAAAGAGCGCTGAATCCATGGTTACAGTAACCCAATACACCTCGAAAAAATAAATTTGGAAGAAGGTTTCTCGAGAATAACCTCAATGCCAAGCCGAGTCACTGCTGCAACCTCCCTTGCAATCGACATAGTAACCTAATTAGATTAATAGGAAACCAGATGAGACTTATGGAA